CTTTAGACCGCTCATGGGCCAAGGAGTCGTTGCTTCAGCGTGCAGCATGAAGCGACAGCCGTGGCGTACCCGACAGGGCACGGGGTTGCGCCAACACCAGCTTGCCGCCAAGAGCGTGCCGCCAGCTTCAGTGCCAGCATCCCACGTTTCGCGGCCTTTGTCCCCGTCAAAGTACTGTATGAGTAAAAAAGCTCGCGCGGGAAAGTTCGCGCATTTCGCGCTCGAGCGACTGCGCGAACTTTCTTCGCCCGCGAGCTTTTTGGCCTTGTCCAAGACAGGTCAGGCGCTGCGCGCGCTTTGGCCCGTTGGCTTGCACAACGACGACTGCCCCGTGTGGCGGTCTTTGACGAGCAGCGACTACCCCGAAGGAGCCCTGAGCTGGCCAACAGATCGCTCGCGCCGGTGGCCATCAGCCAGCCGAATCTTGGCGGCGAGGAGGTGCCATCTCCGTGACCAGGCGGCTCTATTCTCATCCGAGTTTCTAGTCCTGTAAAAGCGTAGCCGGAGCCCCGTCAAGAGACAGCCCCAAAGGAGCCTGATCTGGCTGGCAGATCGCTCGCGCCAGTGGCCATCGCCCAGTCGAATCTAGGCGGCGAGGAGGTGCCATCTTCCTGACCAGGCGGCTCTATTCTCATCCAGTTTCTAGTCCTGCAAAAGCCCACCTCGAGCCCCGCCCAACGACTGCCCCAGAGGAGCCCTGAGCATGACAGCAGATCGCTCGCGCCAGGACGTCTGATCAGCGAGTATTGCCCGACACCGACGGGAAGCACCGGCGCCTGAGAATGTCTGTCTTGTGCTGCCCCGGCGATGGACATGGTCGAAATCGTCAAGCAGGCGGGAGGGATTGGGCGGGGCACAGGCGGGGCGTGCCGCTGCTGGTGTTCGCGTGCTCTCTTGCGGACAACTTCCGTATGAACGGGGGCGCCCTCGTTCATAGCGTTAGGGGGATAGCATGCGCGAGGGGCCTGCTGGCATGTTGGCACGCGTTGTAAACGATTACTTCCCGTCGCCAGCGACGCCGGGTCGCTGGCGTGGGGCGTCACCCCATGCGGCGCTCCGAGGGACGCAGGCAACGCGGCGTCAGGGGGCTGGCCTCTGGTTCGCCGCAGGCCGCTTGCGCCATTCGTCTGCGGCAGCCGGGGGATCAGGACGGCGCCCGGGGGGCGGCGCGGCACAATGAGAAATGGCGCCACCCGTGGCGAAGGTCAAGGGCACCAGGAGGCGCTGCGCTGTGACGTTCGCGCGGGGCAAATTTTCGCGGGCGAAAACGTTCGCGGCGGAAGAGTTCGCGCAGCTACGTGTGCGTGAAATTTTTTCCGCGCGAACTTTTGTACTTGTGCAGCAAACAGGAAGCTTCCTTAAGGTGTGGGATGCAAGGGTGATAAGGGTGGAATGGTGTTCTCAAGTCCCTTTCTTTGTAAGTTGCAGAGCAGCTCAAGGCAGAGGTTTGTTGTCAGTTGTAAAGCGCTGTATTAGGTTTCATTAGGTTGTGCCTTCATTGCATTCACCCTGGACGGACCATTGCGGATCGCTCGCTGGCGAGTTGCCCACCGCACCCCCGCCCCAATCCCCACGCCCCCACCCTCGCCATATGCCACTTATATGGGCCTGGAATATGGCCCTTGAATCCTGGTGAATTGAACTCTGCTTCGGAGATCTTCATCAGGCCGTAGTCCGGGAAGGCGCCAACGTCGATTCTGCAGCTGCCAGCTCACGGCATTCTGAGGGCAACGTCACCCGCCACTGCCGATTCATGACAAATCCGTGCGCGGGAAACATTTAGACACTGCCTGCCGGCACCCAGGGCACAGGACACACCCCCAGCCTCCAAGGCGCCCCCGCTCAGGCCCGGACGGCAGGCGCGGAGGCAGATGGAGGAGAACGGAATCGACACGGAGGGGCAGGTGCGCACCGAGAGGACGCGATGCGTAATGGAAGAGCTTTCAAATCATTCGCCCATCTGTCGTAGCCGCGAGGTCGCCACCAGGCCTCCCTGGGCGTGCACCCCGCCCGGTAGCCTCACGCCTGCGCAGTCAGATTCGAAATGCGCGTGCGACGGGAAGCGCCTCGCGCTCCTACTCGCGCTCCCCGTTTCCCCGCGGGCGATTTGTAGGCAAGGGGGGCCGGGAACACGCGCTGATCGGTGGCTTGTTCTTCGGGATGTCAGGTACTGTGGGGGTTGTGTTGTTGCCGTTCTTTAGCTGACATGGAGCATCTACGCCGGGCACTGTTGCATCTCCGAACCCACCCAAGCAGGGCTCCAAATGTGCCCGCGAACCGGAAATTCAGCCCCTTCAAGGGAGGGCAGTTCCCCACTGCGGGTGGGGGTGGCCACGGGCACCAAGGGAACATGGAAGTTGGAATTCTGTTGATGTGGCCGCCAGTTCCTGTTGTGCTGAATCACCGGCACTGGGCACGGTCGAACACGCTGTGATGCGGAGTGGGTGGAAGCGGATAGAGAGACACGGAATCGACATCTTGTTGGCACATTGTGGAGGGCACCACTTGTTGTTGTGTATGCTGGACGTTTGCTCGGCAGGATGCTGCCTACTGTATGACATGGTTTCCTCTTGTTGTCAAGAATCTTCTGCATACGGAGGCAGGGAGGTATTCTGCAGCTCCCCAGTCCACGGTTGGACAGCAGCATCAGTGAATTGCTCATCGGAAAACCCAAGGCTCTACCAAGAATCGTGTCTGATCCCCACAGGAATACCCCAGTGCACAGGCCTTCTGGGAGGCGGAGCTCAGCGGCGAGGGGCCGTCAGCGTGGTACAGCAAGGCGCTTAAGTACTGGGACCAGCAGGAGCCAACGTACAATGGTGTGCTGGCAGGATACGGCCACCTATCCCGCATCGACCTCATTGACAGTGCAGCGTTCCTCAAGAGGGTGAGCGGAGGCGCCATCTGTGAGGGGTGATCGAGATTTGAAGAAATTGTTGTGAAAAGTAAATTGGGAAATGTATCAGTACTTTGAAGCCAAACACCTGACTCACCACGGTCCCTGACTCCATCGTTACCAGGCACTTTGCATTTGGCCATCTTTGCTGCTTGAAGTCAGGCATGCAGTCATCTATTGTGCCATTTATCCATTTGTGCCGCTGAGGTGCCGCCGAGGTTTCTTGCCATGGATAAGCTGATCCCTCCGCACATGTCTGATGTTTATCTAGACAGGATATCACAAGTGTGGAGCAGTCTCCCCCAGGCTATCAGTTGTGATTTCTGTGCATGGCAGCTGCCTCACAAAATCTCTGGAGAGCTGTTTGCTTGACCCCTTGCTGGCGGGAAGGGGTGCTGTTGATATGTGGTATCAACAAGGATGCTTAATGTTTCTACTTCACTGATGCTTGACTGGCGCAAAAGGAGGATTGTATTGTCAACAGCAAGGAATAAGTTGTGCAAATGGGCACACATTTCCCAACATGAACTATGAATGGGTGGAAAACAATGCTGTTACAGCAGTTGCCAATGGGAGAATAAAGTTGCCAGTTCATTGGCATGTCCCTGAATACAAGATCTCCCTGAGTTCAGGAATTTTGCAAGTTGTTTCATACTTGAAGATGGGTAGAGAAGTTTCAGAATGCTTCAGGAAATGCATGCAGCTCTTTGTTTGTAGGGCATTGGTGTTTTTAGGTTGTGTAACATGTGAGGAAAGCAAAGCAGAATGTCTTCCTCTCTGTTGTTGTGCTTTATCATCACATCATCGCTGATAATCAAAGCCAATGAAAAGACGCAAAGAATGCTGGATCAGTGGTGAATGGCACCAATGGCACCAATCAATTGTCAGATTGCCGCCAATGTGCAAATATCCACATGTAGATTACATGTGCAGAGTATTTGGTATCTTGATGCAGTGTGGATGGAGTACAGGGCGTAAGTGCGACTGTCCCCCAGGAGTGAAGGAAATTCAGCAAACACCATTTATGTTTGTTTCATGGACATCCCAGCATCAGCGATTCTTGGGAGAGGAAATTGAATTGTATCATACAAGAGATATCCACATGCCAAGCAAAATGTTGAAATATTTGCAAACTGGCAACAGCTATCTGGAATCGTCTGAATGCACCATTAAAATTGCACAACTCAGGACAGTGCAATGGCCACAAGACAGGTTGTTCATACCCCCCGTGGGCACGTATGTTTGTATGCAACAGAACGTGTTGCGGGACAAGCATGACATACTCCAGCAGGAGACAGTCCGTCACTAGTCCAGAGAGCCTCCTTGACTTCAAGAATCTTGAACATAGCTGTCCTCACGGTTGTGTAAGCCCTCTGTTTGCGTGTGTCCTTTTTGACAGAACTTTCCCAGACACCTGCAAATCGCTGAAGGGGCTTGTTGGTCTGGTCGTGTCTGCAGGTTTTTGCTCAGCTCTTCAAGGAGAGGCGACATGAAGGAGCAACAACGCGGTCAGTAGGTGAGCCCCGACCAAACTCCATTTTAATTTTATTTGCTCAATATGGAGTTCCAGCCCAATCACCCTGACCAAAGTGTTGCAGGACTGGACGCTCAAACACCCAGCGAGGACATGGGGAACCAATTTGATGCAGAAGCTGCTAGTTTGACATGACAGCTGCTGTGTGCCCTCTATGGTGACTCGCTGCCTTTTGCCCTGTGCTCGATTCTGCAGCTGCCTTTTCGTGTTCTGTTGTTGGCATGCTGTGAATGGCCACTCCACCAAGTACACAAGGGGACTGCAGTTGCAGTCCACAACATGACTGCTCGATTCCATGGTCCCAGACCATCGATGTCAGCAATACACGCACAACACAAGCAAGCGTTCTTCAACAAAACATCGGCAGTGACATTTTTGTTGAGTGTTCGAAAGAAAGGGCATTGCCAGATTTTCCTGCCATTGTGCCAGGAGCCCAAGTAGCGTTCCATTGACGATCCACAGACATGCAATCTGGGTGCAGTCAGCAGCAACGGGAATCCTTTGTAAATTTCGTGAAATGCGATGCAAACACAGAGTTGCCACTGTCGTGCAACAGATTGTGGTGCTGGAGTGGGTCGTGTGTCAGAGCATGTGCTGCTGCATGCTTTCGACGAGGTTGACCTCCTGGAGCCGTCCAAGCCGCTGCTGGAGGAAGCGCGACAGCGTTTGGCAGTGCCAAAGGCAGGCGAACCACTTGGCAAGGCAACCAAATTCATCTGTACTGGGCTGCAAGACTTTGAACCAGAGGCCCGAAGGTGTGGTGGATTGGTGGGGCTGTGTTTCACCGTTCAGCCATTGGGTCCCCTGCCAGTGCCCATTCTGTACCCCAGTTGTGAGCTCAGCTGGCTTGGGGCACAGCATAATCTTGCTTGGCTGTTTGCTGTTTTTTATGGTTGTAGGGAAGGCGATGCATTCTGCCATATAGCGTATATTCAACTTACTGAGATATTGACATATGTTTGGTCAGTTGTTCAAGATTTTGTCCCATATTGAAATGCTGCGTGCTGTGCAGATACGACTGCATCTGGCTCCAATGGGTCATCCTGTGCATCACAGATGGTGCGTGCATCACCAAACCCCCTGATTTGCCCCTTGCTGCAGAGCACCTGCCAGTGTCAAGCCCGATCTCAGGGTTCCTACATGGCCCCTGGGCCCTTTGGGCCAAGGCAAGGCCCCCATGCTTCGGCTCAGTCACTGTGGACACATGCACACTTTCCCCTGGTATCAAAGTTTTTATTCATCATATCCTCCAAAGCCAGGCTTTTGCTCAAGACGTGTTTGTGCGCACGAACAGCTCTCCAATGTCAAATATGCTCAGAATATCCTCAAGTGTCCAGCCCACACCAAACGTGTTCCGATTGCAAAGTTTGCTGATGACTTCCTTGAATATGAAGATGTGCTTAGAATGGCACCTGGCTTCCAATGACTCAAAAGCCAGATTACCCCCATGCCCACATCGCCAATTGTTTGTTGCTCACCATGTGCTTCGCTGCGCCTTGCTTGTGCCGACATCTGGAAGTCTCTTCCACACCGACAAAAAGTCCCCCAAGTCACTGAATTCTGCCCTTGCATGAAATGTGTGAAGCTGCTCGTGCAATCTTCACTATGTTCCAGTGCAAGCAGTCTTCGCCTTCCCTCACCAGTGCCGAACACGACCTTGCGCGTTGATTCAGTCGGGCGGACGATGCACTGCTTCCTGCATTGTTTTCTGCATGTTGCTGCGTGCCCTGGCTTGATGTGGCAGAACAATGGTGGTGCATGGGTTTGCGGTGCGTCGCGGCAGCAGCACCTTTGAGCAGCTGGCTACCTTCCCAGAATTCGTGCGCTGATGAGAACGTTGTGGCGGCAACATTGAAAATCCCTTGCCTGCTCATCTTATTGCGTTGAGTACGCAGTAGCGAACGCAGTCGCTCTGTTCATCGTCTGTGCCGGGCAGATCTTGGTGTGTGGTATCGTGTACTGGCTGCTGCATGGGATTGTTGCACACCGGGGTTTCGCGCACATTGGTGTAGAAATTTAAGCGCCACAGGTTTGAACGAGCGTGGGCCTTGCCGAAGCGCTTGCGCCTTCGCCTTGGAGCGGTTTCAAAGGTGGAAGAGCAGCGTGCTGCCACTGGCGACAACCGCAGCCCAACAGCGCGTACTTGCTCGCGGTTTGAATGTCGTGAACCGTGCCTGCAGCTGCCGGGTTCTAACCTAGCCCATGTGTTGTGCTCAGACGGCGTTGTAAACGCGTTGACGCGGTGTAAAGATGGTCTACGGGACGGAGGCTATATCATTGTAAGGGCCCGCGTCCATGTTTGCATTTTCTGCCCAGAGAATGCAGTTGTTTGCATCGCACCGATTCTGCGGGCCTTTTTGGCAACCTGTCAGTTGTAGGATGTGCCTGTTTCTACATTAGGCGATGTAGGAGCTCGTGAATCGACATGGGTGATGCGAGGGCCTTGAACGTAAACCGTGCATATCAGATCAACAGTAGCAAGCATGCATGCCGAGATTCGCCCGGATGCTGTGAGCCGACGAATGGGTGCTGAGGTGGGTGGCAGCACCGAAGGACCGCCAAATGCGCAACAACACCATCGGGGTTAGCAGCGAAAACAACTAAGCGAGGTTAGGAGGCGCACCAGGAAATAGCACCTAGGAATGGCCGTCGGAGAAATTAGTTGTGGCCTGGGGCCGCTTGTAAGCGCGCCGGCGTGTCCTGTCAGGTGCAATGGCTTGGATTGCCATGCGCTGTTGGGAACACGCGAATCCATGGAAGAGAGCCGTCAAAGAACTGACACCGGAGCCGCTGTGCACTCCCTTCCCCAGGTACCAATGGGCCAAAGCGGCTTGAGTAAACCGAATTTTGTGAATTTGTGCATTCCGATGCTCAGCAACTGAATGCTCGGCTGGATTGTACCAATATCTGGGCTTCTCATGGAGCGAATCGTGTGCACTGCTTTTGTTTGGCGAAGCAGGGAGCCGATGGCTACCTCCTGCCCTTGTTTTGTGATATTCCTTGATGGTGCGCTTCCTTGCCAGGTGAAGGAGAACATTTGCAGCACCGGCTTTGTCGTGGACCGCGAGGACACCAGCATTTGCCGGTCGCACTCGTACCTACTGCAGCTCTTTGCCCGCGCTGGCCTGGCGGTCGTCCACACGGCAGAGCAGAGCCGTTGGCCCAAGCAGGTGTACTCAGTGCGAATGTACGCGCTGCAGCCGTGCTGACACGCGCCTGGCGCCCCGGCTTGCTGGCCCGGTGGCCCAGGAGCATCCCAGCACCAGCGGTGGGCGGGGATGGCCCAATCCGCGGCGTGCCTTGCAATGCCTTTGTTTGCGCTTGTCTGATCGGATGGATTGCCACCGGGCGCCTACAGATCGATGAAGGGCTGAACGGTGGCGTCTGTGTTTGTTCCTCAAGTGTAATGCCTTGCGCGGTCCGTTTGGAGAGAGGCGCCTGGGACCGTCAGATGGGCGCTGCTCGCATTTTGCAACTGTCCAAAACAGTCTGGGACAGTGGGTCGGCGAATTCTGGTTTCGACCGCATTTTTCGCGATTTGGCGAATGTAAAGCTACAAGCCGCTGTCTACTTCCCCACAGGCCGACCGACGTGTTGAACATCAAGCACTCGGATATCTTCAGGCTCTTTGGCAAAGCGGCTGTTTCGCGTGCAGTGGTTGGCGTGGATTGTGAATGGTTCAGAAAATTTGCTTTTGATACGTTTACCTCTCCAGGACTAGACGTGCAATTTTGTGTTTCAGGTGATGCTGAGCAGCATGGATTGCGGGTGTGCTTGGAGATTTGCATTCCTGTTGCCAGTGTGTGAGTGGCCTGGGGGATTCTCGTTCTGGTGTGGTGAGCAGCGGCAGAGGAACAAATTCGACGATATCGAGAAGTCGTTTTGTCCATGGGCGCGCTGGGTTTGCTGGACGAGGCGGGTGTACACGGCGAGCCTGTGCGCCGGCTCTGCCACAGCTTGTCATTTCAACGCCTTCCTTCGCGCGACATATCTTTAGGAACGCATCTCCATATCGCAGAAGACGCAGGGGTCTCCGGGTGGAGCAGGAGCAATGGACAACGCAGAGTACAACGAATATTCGTGGACAGTTGCAGCCTGCGGACGATTCTCCTCCCATGGTCCTGCAGGGATTGCCAAAGGAAACGATGCTCGTCAGTGGCCTCTACATTGGGCAAACCCCTCCCGAGCGCACTCATTGGGACGCCTTTCCACCTCTGCTCAACGAGGGGGAAGCGCCACCCCATCAGCACAGTGGATGTGCCGCCTCGACAGCCTTCTGTATTGTCTGATGGCGGATTCTGCAGCTAGACTGCCCACACTACATTCCCAGCAACCGTAGAAGCAAACATAGATGAGAACAGCGTGCATGCGTGCATCTACCTATCGTTACCTCAAAATACATGCAGACAACCATCCGATCCCACAAACGACAAAACAATCCAAAGCCCGCAATTTGGCACGGGGTATTGCGGTGGGCCACAAACTCTCGGCGTCTCGGTCTCCGTGAACAAGAACTAATCACAGCCCTGCCAAAGCAGGGTGTCTTGGTGGCCAAACGCACACGGGCTGCCCCTCCGATGGAGAGAACCCCAATAAGAACAAACACCTCCACGGGCAGAGGTGCATCCTGCACCAAGTTTCACCACATTCCCCGCGATGCTCGGCACACCCGTTCTGTGGAAAACAAAATGACGGGTTTCGAGTGTCCCATTCACTCTCGCAGCCTGCGCCCGTCCCAGGCAGGGCCCTTCATTGAGCGCCCGCAGAACACACGCGAACAGCAACAAGGACCGGCACTGCACATTCGAATCATGCGATCCTCACGAAGTTGTCCTCTGAGGTCTCGTCCTTGGCGGTCTCCCCGGGCAGTGGCCAGTGGCGCGCAAAAGCCATCCTATATGTGTAGATCACCACCGGCCGGCCGCGTGCTCGCATGGACAGCCTCTCATCGCTGTAGCCTGTCAGGTAGTCAGAGACGACCTGGATCACAGCAGACTGAAAGTGAAGATTCGCACAGGCAGTTTGAGGCAGCACACCATAGATGTGCGCCTTTGTGCAAGCACTGAGGCAACACACGTTGGGGAACAAGCACTTGCACACATGAACGGCATTGAACAAGGCCTAAAAGGTGACTGGGACCTGTGAGGCTCTGAGCAATGTCAGAGCCTCGCAGATGTCTGGATACAAATAAAGCAAGATTCTCCAAGCAACGCGTCAACGATCAAGCTCATGGTTTCTGCAGCAGTACGAAATTGGAACTCTGGTGTGCATCAAGGTCCTACGTTGGTCTGCACATGTAGTACCCAAAGAACAAAAGCCCCACAGAGATGTTCGTCCAGTGGAACCAAAGGATGCCTGGGCACGATTGCCAACATCGAATGCAATGAAAGGAGCAACACACCTGGGTTGCAACAATCGTGGGTCCGCCATCTGCGCTGGCCTCCTCCTCGTTGCGCCACTTATACTTTGTGAAGCATCGGCTGGCTGTCACCTTGGGACCCATCTCTTGTGAGGGATCGTCAAACACCTGTGGTCAGAGGTATGTTTCAGGCGAAGTGAAGTGGATGCAAAACATGTGCACCACAGTGCAACAAGGTGTGCATCCGTGTCAGTCCATTCTGTCCAGCAATAACACGTCTCCCAACTGTGGCCCACACAACTGCACTCTCTACATGAGCTCATCCATGCATGTTTGATCCTCTGGAGTCACTCAGAAAAGTCCATGGTCCCTGGTGCTGCCCAGCGGTGTGCCCGTCCTGGGAATAGGTCCCTTGAACCAATGAGGACATTCATGGTAAGGCTGCTGAAGCCCGACAGGACATGTGAGGTGGGCAGGGTCACACTTGACAGAACACACAGCACCCTGAGAGCACATGATGCAGTGTATGGCAATTTGGTCTCTTCTAAAGGTAATGGTTTAATGTGCCCAACGTGAGCAGTGCATGGCAACGTGTTGCAGACAGGAACGTTGTCCCTTTGTTGCCCAGTGGCTGCTCACAACAGGAACAAATGAAATAAAAGGAACCACATGTGTGACAGGATGTCCATGCATAAACTGCATGTGCTGTGTCACCTGTACAACCTGACCATTCAGTCAAACGATGCCACCAGCACACGTCTTTTTTCCATGTCCCGCACACACGTTCAAACAACTACTTAACAAACGGAGCTGTCCCTTCTTGACTACTGCAATCAGAGGATGGGGACACACGCACAATAGTGCTGCAGACAGGGCTGACTTATCTTGTTAGGACAGGGGTGCTCCATTGAATCTTGTGGATTCTTTAAACACATCTTGACAAACATGTGCACACACTGTGAATGGACGCAGTCCCACAAGTGGCTGTTGTTGGCAAGGGGCTGGAGGGGTGGTCCCTATGCTCTGCCCACCTCCCTCCCCAATCAATCTCTTTCCTAGATGGCCTGCGCTCTCTTGTTGCGTATGCTCCACTGGCAGCTGTGGCGATCGCTGCGTGTTGAGCATGACAGGAGTGCCTTGGTGGCCGCACTTACTGGACAACCAGTGTATGTAAGGGGGGGATGGGGGGGGTGGGGGGCCACTGGATTGACATCGATAGCTCACATAAAGCAGGTTGGCAACATTGCCTACTGGCGGTGGGTGGGGCATCAGTTCACAGCAATGGGATCGCGATGGCAGTATGCAGCTATGGCCTCGCTGCAGCAGATTGTGTGATGGTTTGATAGGGCAGGCCAGCGATTCCTTTGGGCAGCTGAGTTTGGTGCTGTGGAGCTGGTTGGCAATGGCAAAAGGAGAGCGGCAGCAGATGTTGCTTGTGGCTTCTGTGGCATGTGTTGCTTGGTGAAGTCAGCCCATCTTTGCGGGCCTCCCTCCAAAAATTCACCACCCTAAATTCATTACAATCTTTCATATGGGCCCTGACCATTTTGTAGGAGGCCCGACACTGCTGAAGAACAGAAAGGTCCAAACACACTCTTAACTGGTGGGGTGTTCGGGTATGAGGCATGAAAATGGACAAATATTTCTTTTTCCCATTTCTGCACGGTTCAGGTGGACATCATTAGCCCCAGTCAGGACTCAGAGTTGTGGACCTGTTCAAGATTCACTCACAAAGAGCTAATGCATACACAAGCATTTCTTGCATTCTTATTCCACACAATGCAACAACAGCATGCACACCAAGGAGGCCCAACACATACTCATATGGGGAAAGGGGGGGCCAAAGAGAAGGGGGGTGAGGTGGGGGGAGGGGGTTTCCCCAATGGGTGACTTGTTCTCCTAGTCTCAAAATACTTGTCAACAACTCATACCTGTTCAAAGAATTCAGATGTGTCCAGCCGGTTGGCCTCTCTCCTGTCCTCGGACCGCTTGGTGACTCGTGTCAGCACGTCAGTACCACCTGGCAGTGACAGCTTAAGCACGTTGGGGTCATCAGGGTTCCAATTAATGCGGTTCACAAAGTCAATCTCAGTGCCATAGTACATCTCCATTAGGCTGGCCGTGTTGTACCGCCTGTCTGTGATGACCTCGTTGCGGCTGTTCTCCACAAAGTTCACAGAGTACTGGAGGGGCACATTGAGCTCTGTCTTGGCACGCTCGACAACCTACAGGAGCACAAACCTACAGTAATTACATCTGCTAGAAGTAAGACAAATCAGTGACCTTTCCAGCAAATCATCGTGGATTTCACTTGCCTAGAGGGGGAGTTTGTTCGCAACCCCATGTTGGGCCCCCGCACTAACTGCTGCCCAGATTCGCTCTGTTCACTGCTCACGTAGTAAACCAGAGGAATACAAACCCTTCCTTTCTATTCAAATCGGTAAGGGTAGGTGTTGGCATCACCGAACAGGCCGACAGGAAATTGCTGCATTCCACTGAGGCTGTGCACTGGTGGTTGACTGCTGTGGCCATTCAATCTGGCTATTTGTGCAGCTCTCTCTTGTGTGCTGCTCCTGTTGCATTCCAATTTAACATCTTCTACAATGCACCATGGGAGTCTCACTCAACCACTCCTCCTCAGTGGTGTGCCCATCATGCTACCTAGCGCTCGTTTGATGCGAGCACAGCCTTTGGTTTGCAGTGTCCTGCACAGGCAATTTTGCAATAAATCGACTCACAGATACGAAACTTTCCAGCTGCAGACAGCACGAAACAAGTCATCCATTGCCTTGCAACACGCAGGGGCAATACCATATGCACGTGTGCTCACAGAACCAAGCACACAGGCTCATACTGAATATGCCCATGGAGACAACAAACATGCACATGCGCACACAGCATCTGACAAACTCCCACCCTTTTCACACCAGCCCATACAGGCCCTTGAGCACATTACTTATCGGATTTCTTGCTGTTACTTCCTTTCCTGGTGCATTCAAAAAATTCCACATCATCATCTCTTGTAGTTATAAAAGGGCTTGTTAGCTGCTGTGGCAGTCTTTTGTCAAGGTTCTCAAAAAGGAAATCGAGCCAAAATTCCACAGGCGACAATGTCAACATGCTTGCTAAGGATGCCCATGTTCTCCATCTTTGCTGTTACTTGCTTGCCGGGAACACTTCCTCACCTTGAGGTTTGGCACGAACTCTGTACCTAGGGGCGTCTCCACGCTCACCAGAGTTGAGAGAGTGTCCCACACGCCAAGGAACTCCCTAGGGAACACCAAGTCAGCAGGCCCTCCCCCGATCCCCTCCCACACCCGGTCCATGGCCTGTGGCAGCTTGCTTGCCTCAGCAGCCTCCTCCTCCTGGACAAACATCCGTTGTCTGTTCAGACCATCAGCATGACGTCATTACACTTGAGAATCTGAAGGTCAGATGCATATTACAACTTCATCAATCAATTTGCCTCCCTTCAGGTCTCATGGCTCTGTTTTTGGGGGGCCCTACAGTCATGGATAGCTTTCTCTCGGATTTGTCCACCTGGTTTTCTCCCCAGGAGTATAAGGGAGCCAACACGCCAACCTCCCTTAACAACGCACATACACAATGTATGCACAAATGCATGCCTGTCCTTGGTCAATGCTGGACTGCATTGGCCATTACCAGTATCAGTGCATTGTCAAATCAATGCCCTTTCAGCACAAGGTCATGTTGGGGCATTTAACTGCTGTCTTGAGCCCACCTGGACCCACATGGAGAAGAAAGTCGACAGCGCCGCCATGTTGACTGTTCTCCGGTCAGCGATGAACATTGAGTGCTCCTTGGGGTCCGAGGTCGACGTCTCTTGAGCTGGGCCTTCTATATGGACGTTTTCAGGGACCTCCTGGCTCCTGTATCTGGGATTCACCCAAAAGAAATACATAAGCTGTGAAGATGACTCTGAATGTTTGCTATTAACACTCCTGCTCTCACTGCAGTGCTAATCTGACAACTGGCAAGCAAAGCAGTAGCTACACAGGCCACTGCCACAACTGCATGCGATTTTTGAGCGTATGCACCACAACCCATAAGGGACTCCTATGTGCAGGTTTACATGCTATGCAAGCTTCTCTGCGTCATGTGCTTTGCTGCTGCACTCTGGGACTTCTGCATCACCTTAAGGTAATACAGCAACAAGCCTCAAGACAATTCTTGCGCAGGAGAGGGGTGCCCATTGCATGCCATGCTGTCCTACTTGTTGACAGCGATTCTCTGCTACTGCTACTTCCAGAGTCAATATTCTCACCAGTAGTTTGACATGTTGTGCTACTGCTATGGCACCAGACAACTGAAACTCTTGATAAGCAAGAATTTGTTGAGTGATTTCTGCTTGTGTTCAATGGAGATTTTTAGAAGGCTTGGCCATCGCTGCAAAGGCACAGCTGTGCCTGCAGACGGCGATGGATTCAGGCACAACCAACACTGCTTACTTCAATAATCTGTGCTGAGTGGAATATACACCACAATGGGTGCTGCCAACAGGACCTTGGGGCCTAGCCAAAATGTGCCCACTCAATCTGAGCACAACCGTATGTGCTCAGGCGGACTGCAAACAAAGAAAGATTAAAACCCCCTTAAAGAAGTTCTTTAGCACTGTTGATGTGCTCCCCCCCTTTTTTGCATTACATGGTGATCCTAATCATTGCAGCGCATGACATGACTGTGCAGTTGCCGCGCACAATGCAGGAGTGGCAGTCACGTTCAGCAGTCAGAATTGTTCTGTTTCTGTTCCACTCAGAGAACTTCTGCAATATTCTCAGTATGGAAACAACATTCACTTCACAATTCCCTGTCAAGAGTGCATTAGTTCCCCATTGTGCGGCTGGGCTTCTTTCTGACAGAAAACCAGCTTCTAGTCCGTGCTGACCCTTGTGATGCCAAATGCTATTCCACGCACAATAATGCATGATACAGTCCAGCGCCCTTTCAGACGGCCCTTTGGTCGCAATGCACATAAAATTTTTCGCAAGCTGCTCTACTTTGCTGCTGGGCAAGGCCAGTGAGCTTTCCGTTTCGTTTTCAGCAATAAGCATTTGGCCAGCTACTTCGGTTGAAGCAGGCCTCCCTTGGCGGCTTTCCTTCACATTGGCTAGCTGGAAGGTAACGGGCTACCCTGAGCCATTTGCGAATTTGTAAATGTCTGCATTGATTCGCCCACCGATCTTTGAATACGCCAGTCTGAATCTGTTCATGCACGCAGTAGACTGCACGCGGAATACCAAGGGCCGAACACTTTCTGTTGTGCCCTTCGCCGACTGAAACTAAGCGGCTGCACACGCCACTCACGCGAACGCCAAAGTTTGGCGTGGACTCGCGCAGCGGCCACCAAACAGAGGCCCTGAAATCCAAGCATGACCGTGGCAGGTGAGGCACCCTGCGCCCCAGGCAAGAGGATGCCACCTGGGCATGGATGGACCAACCCAAGTGCCAAGAGAGATTCCAAATGCATCCGTCAGCAGGGACGGAGTTCTGAAAGATTTCGCTCCGCCTGTGCGCGCCACGCATCTGCATACATTGAACGCGGTGAGGAAAGGATTCCACGCAGAGAGCAGCCCCGTGGCGTCGCCTTCCCCGAATCTGGTTCTCACCTGAGTCTGATCGGGCCACGGGCCGGCTGTCCCCTCCCTAGGGTAGGAGCCATCCCGAGCGGGATGACGCGCTGCGCGGGCAGGCGCCCTGGCCTCATCTCGCCAAGCCGAAGCGGGCGCTTGTTACGCGCAGGGAGCCCAGCGGGACGCGCAAAGGCGGCGGAAGGGCTGGCCGTGCGCGGCCATGGGCGCGCCACTGGTCTCTGTGGCCGTTGGGTGCTGGCGTGGACCTGACAAACGCTAGTGGAATCCTTGATTGTTCCGTTGTTCCGTAATGGAGTATTACGGTACAGCCCTGCGATCTTCCCGCCCAATGGCAGGCTGAACATGTAATTACAATTACATATTCAGAACGTCACAACCGTGACAAAATGTCCACCTGATCCAATTCCAAACAAACACCAATTCGTCACCATCCCACAGAAACACGTATTTGTCCATGTATCCAAACTCGGGTATTTCACCCGCAATCCAAAGAGTGCCCACCTCCAAACAATACGGCCCGTGCGCCAAGCGCCCAAAGCATAGGGCCGGAAACTTTCCGGCGGAAAGTACAGGGGGAACGAAAGAAAACCCCCATCAAGGCGACGGGACAGGAGGAGGAGACGGCGCGGAGAATATGTCACGAATCTCATCGTGAATGGAGTCAGCTGCAACAAGCATCCAGCCAAAAAGACGGTAGTCATTGTGGTAATTTCGTGCACTTTGTTTGGCGAACTGCTCGTGGGACTGTGTCTTGCGAGGTCCCGTAGGGGGCAAGCTCGGCCGAGTGAAGCGAGGCCGTGCGTAGCCCCCGAAGGGTGCTCGCAAGACAGGGGGGTCCGGGGGCGGAGCCCCCGGCCGCCGGAGATAATGGGATTAATGAGTTTAATGGACATTAATGGAATTGTGTGCCGCGGGTTGTAAGAGCGTGCGCGGCCACGCCGATTGTAGTTCGATCTTTCTGGAACAGCTTGCCTCCCTGCCTCCTCGAGCGCAGTAGCCGCGCGCCTCGGACGGGACCGCACAGAGCGGCCGTCACCCACGGGCCAGAGAGAGCCCGGGACACGCCGTCCGGCCGAGGACGACCACGCTTCCACTGGAGAGGCCCTAGAGCGCGGGCCAGGGTACCTGGACGCGGCCAAGGGGGGACCGCGCCAACAAATTGGTTTCGGAGCTCTGGCTACGACGATTGGGCGTCGGAGGCAAGGCCAGCGGAGCAGCCTTGCCGAGGCACAAGCCGGGGCGACAACCACGTTGGCAGGAAGCGCGCGGGAAGCAGATTCGAGGATTGGAGGTTGGCAAGTTTGGATCGATTGACGGCATCGCCATCGCAGCACCCGGACGTGAGTTTTTGCTGTGCTGTGGGTGCGGAAGTGTGGGGCACCCTCCATTACGCTGAGCGCAAGTGTTGGTGGGGCAATCGCTGGGAGTTCTGCTGCTCATCATAGTCTGAGATGTCTCAAGAGGGCCGGATTGGCATGGAGCTGAATGGCCGTGAATCCGGAAGTGTGCATGGGCCTGAGGATGCGCCCATGACCGAAACGAGTCAATCGCCGGCCATTGCCATGCCGCGATTGGACCCGGGAGCTGAATCCAGTGCTGCGGGGTCTGGGGCAACAAGCCGGAGGCCGTCGACCCCTACGCGTAGAACTACAGCTGCCAGTGCAGCTCCATCGCGGATTCCTACAAAAGCACCGGCGATGAAGCGGCGGAGTCCAACACCACCACGAAGCCGATTGACGTTGGAAGGCGAAGCTGTGAGCACTTTGCAGCGGACACAAGAAACTGCACAATCGGCAGCTGGGCATGCAGGGGCAGCTCTCCAAGTTGCCCAGCAAGCGGTTACGGAGACCGCGAGTATGCGCAAAGCGGTGGAAGAGGCGCTGACCAAGTACTACCAAGCGTCCACTGCATTGACTGCAGAGCAAGTGTCTCATCTGGCAAAAGACACTTCGCAGGAGATGCAAGTAGCCGTCCAAGAGCGTCATCAGCTCAAGATTCGTTTGAGAGAGCAACAGGAGGAAACAACTCGGTTACGACAGGAGTTACGTGAGGCTCATGCTGCACAATCTGCAAATGTGCAAGCACTGCAACAACATCGAGTTGAGGAGCAAGCCACGACATCTGGCAGAATTGAGGACCTCCGAACGAGGCTACAGCAACAGAAGGCATATGAAGACCAGAGGTCCTTGAGGATGCAGGAGGAACTGGGAGCTTTGAGGCAACAACAGCAGGCCCAAGGTTCACAGATGACCACCAGGACAGATGAGCTGATTCTATCCTTGAGCGAGCAGCTGGAGTCCTTGCGACGGGATTTGAGTGTGGAGCGGGAGCAAAGGCAAAAGGTACAGCGAGAGCTGTCTGATTATAAGGCAGCCTGGGATGAGCCTCTCTATCAGAATGAGGGTTCATATTTGCCTGATGCTGTTGTTGAGTCTGCACCGCCCCATTCTGTTATTTCAGTACCTCCAGCTGATCCGAACCGGCCTGATGACTTTCAGTTTCCTTCAGCACTTGTGGATCGAGAAGTGCCAGTTCAGAATCCTGTGGCAGCACCAGTGTTTGTAGGAGAGTCCAGTATCCGACCATCAGGGTCAAGTTTGGCTGCTCAGTCAGTACAGCCAGGATTGCAGGGACAGGGCAGCCAATTACTGGGAAATGTTCCAGTTTCAGTACCAACAGTGTCTGCAGTGCCAGTCAGTTTCAGTGCAGGAACCGCTGGACAGAATATAGCAGGTGCATCCGGACCAGTTTTCCATGTGACGATGAAGCCCAGGGAACCGCCAGTTTTCTGTGGCAAGACCAGTGAGGATGTGGAGAGCTGGATCTACACGGTGTCAGCGTACTTCAGGACCGTTGCTGCACCGGAAGAACAGAAAGTGGGATATGCTCTCACTTTTCTGCAGGAGGCTGCTCGCGAGTGGTGGATCAACACCATTCGTACTACCGGACGAGAGCCTCACACCTGGAACGAGCTGGCGGAGGCATTGCGGGCAAGATTCAGACACCGCACAAAGGAGATGACGTGCTGAGTTGCGTGCTATCAGGCAACAGAAAGGCGAGAGTGTGCGAGTGTATGCAGCCAGGTTCAGCCGACTACTTGGCCATCTACCACGATTCGACGAGGCATGGGCAAAGGACCAGTTTTCTTCAGGTCTGATGCCTAGAGTGGCAGAGTTATTGCTACTCAAATCGCCCAGGTCATTGCAGGATTTCATGGTGGAGGCTGAGCGGGTCGAAGTGACGCTCAAGTATGCTCAGCATACGAGAGCCAATGATGGACAGAACCCAGCTGCATCATCATCGTCTGGTCAGGGAAATAGGGGAGGCTGGCGAGGACGAGGACGCCAAGGCAGAGGCAGAGGTGCTGGCCAGAACATGGGCCAGAATGCTGGACAGGGTGCTGGTGCAGGGCAGGGTCAGAGCCAGGGGCAGGCACAAGGACAAAATGTGCAGGCAGGTCCATTCCCTTTTGCCTGTCACAACTGTGGAGGCATTGGACACAAGGCCAGTGTCTGTGCCAGCCGAAGCAACTACCGGGGGTGAGGACGCGGAGGACGTAGTGGCGATCGCGGGGGACGTTCTGGAGGCAGAGGCCAAGGACGTCATGCAAGCAACGCGGGACTGGTAGGGACCAGCCAGGTCGAGGGTGCTGGAACCCAGACAGCACCCTCCAACCCGCCGGGAAACTAGTGCGGCCCCAGACTGGCCGGTCCATGGGACTGACGGGGCCTGCACTTCCGAGCTCTCCAAGCCGATCTGGAGGGGCTCGAAGGTTTGGGAATAAGACCTCGTTATCACGGACGCAGAAAAGGAGACAGCGGAGACAGAGGCATCTACAGCACCTGTCTGCCATTTCTGCAGAAAGAGATGTGATCAAAGCAGTAAATAAGTCACTCAAGGGCAACTGCTCAAGACAGAGACAGCATGCAGAGGAGTGGAGGCGACACCAACCTACTGCACCAAGTCGCAGTCGAAGTCAGAACGAGGCACAACTACCGAGATCTGCAGGGCAGTGTGATGACCCCGGGAGTACCACGCAGCCCCAGACAGCTCAGCAGATAGGAGTTCAGTCCATTAGTTTGGACAGAGTGATAGGGCCGGTAGTTGAACATGGGAATAGGGAAAAGGACTGGCGTATGCTGAATCTGGGTAGATCAGCAACGCCCCCTGTTAGTAGACAGGAATCGGAACTGGGGAACACGGTGGCTGTACCGTCGCAGCACCATGATGGATTATTGTTGAGAATTCAAATGAGGTGTTGTGGACATAGTCTTCTGTGTTTAATAGACTATGGTGCGTCTCGTTGTTATATGGATTCTCAAGTTGTGTTGCAGCTGGGTTTACAACCAGTTGCAGAAAATGCAACCTTGGAGTTGGGAGATGGTACACGAGTACCATCCAAGGGTTGCATCAAAAAGTTGGTTTTTACCATGGGATCTCGTACATTCTCCCAGGAATTTACAGTGACCGATCTTATGACTGGGGTGGATATGGTACTGGGAATGACTTGGCTTGAACAGGTGAACCCCCTGATCAATTGGGGTTCTCACACTATGTACGTTCAAGACCAAGGAGTATACTACCCCATCGCAGGTGTTCCAGCCGACAAGGACACCAAGATCGGCACCGTCAAGCATATCGAGATACCCAACGATCAAGAAAACGACCAGTCTGTACAGTACCTTCATTCTTTGGAGACGTTGGCAACTCCGCAATTTTGGGATTATATTCGTGACGATCGGCAATGGAGATCAGTTAATCGTCACGATACTACAGCCAGCATTGCAGGAAACGATGATCAGCAGGCCAGCACTAGTGATCAGCAGCGATCACAACGATTCTGCAAACGAACGACCAGAACCCCTCGTGGCATGCAACAGAAAAATGTGCGCAATACAGCCAGTCAGCGGCAGTTTATTTCATTGAAGCAGATGCGCAAGCTGACTGCACGAGGTGAGACATCATATCTTCTGATGATCCGCAGTTTTGGCAAGGAGAAAACGCAGCGGCAGCCTAAGTTG